CCAGCGCTGGGCCAAGCCCCAAATATAAAATGTTTGCAATGGACAGATTTAGTTAGAACAAAAATATATTTATTTAAAGTCAAACTGGGAATACCATAGGTGCAAGAGAGACGTGAAAGAGTTGAGTTATAAAGCCATAGTAGGTGGAGGGGCGTGACTCAAGGAGTAGTATAGTGGGGCAACAGGTGGGGGCAGCGTCCGCGGGGGCTAAGAGTGCGGGTGTCCTGGCGAGGGCCACACGTCAAGAACGGATCACGGTAAATGGATACAATCTTGGGTGGTTGAGTGAGCGTGGCTAACACACTTGCTCGGCCCTCCTGCCTCTCTTGACCACACGCGCGTGCGCATATATATATATATATATATATATATATATATATATATATATATATATATATATATATATATATATATATATATATATATAATATGTATGTATGTATATATATATATATATATATATATATATATATATATATATATATATATATATATATATATATATATATATATATATATAATACACTCACACTGTCTCTCACTCTCTCACCTTAATTTCGGTTTATATATTTAGGAAGGAATTTAGGCAGTGCTAAGCAGCTGTCATGAAAAGTTCTGAAAAATATTCTGAAGCACGGTAATTGTACTTCTCCTTTATTGCATGACGCTCAGAAATAAAAAGTATGTGAAGAAAACCGTCCTACAAGAACGAAACTATTGTACACAGCGCTCGCTCGGGACTTTGTCGTGTCGAGTTGCTCTTCACACCTTTTTCGGCAGGTTTTGTGACCCGGCGCTCAATACACACTACCACACCTTGACAATAGTTAATTACAACTGCGCAATAGATCATTACACTGCTTAAAGTGCTTGGGTGTATGACAGTAACAGTTACGTTGTATGTCATGCAGTCACGCCGTGGTAGTTAAGCTGTAAACACAAGTAACTGTATCAACTGTATAAATGGTAGTTCTTGGGGACAAATAGTCTGTTAGTTGCGCAAAGTGGTGGGTGTTGATGACATGGAGGGGGGTGGGAGGGGGGAGCCCTCAGGGCCAGGGATGGGTAGGAGAGAAGCACTCGGGGCCAGGGATGAGTGGGAGGGGAGCACTCAGGGCCAGGGATGAGTGGGAGGGGAGCACTCAGGGCCGGGGATGAGTGGGAGGGGAGCACTCAGGGCCGGGGATGGGTGGGAGGGGAGCACTCAGGGCCAGGGATGGGTGGGAGGGGAGCACTCAGGGCCAGGGATGGGTGGGAGGGGAGCACTCAGGGCCAGGGATGAGTGGGAGGGGAGCACTCAGGGCCGGGGATGGGTGGGAGGGGAGCACTCAGGGCCAGGGATGGGTGGGAGGGGAGCACTCAGGGCCAGGGATGGGTGGGAGGGGAGCACACAGGGCCAGGGATGGGTGGCAGGGGAGCACTCAGGGCCAGGGAGGGGTGGGAGGGAAGCACTCAGGGCCAGGGATGGGTGGGAGGGGAGCACTCAGGGCCAGGGATGGGTGGGAGGGGAGCACTCAGGGCCAGGGATGGGTGGGAGGGGGGAGCACTCAGGGCCAGGGATGGGTGGGAGGGGAGCACTGAAGGTGTTTGGTTATAAAATGGAACATTAAAAACACCGAAAGTTTGTTTCTTAGGAGCTGTAGATTTGTTCAAACTTCTCCGAAGATGGGCAGGAACCAAGGAATGTAGTGTACATTTCTTGTCGGGATCACCACACAGAGGCGCTGGAAAAGGATATCGCAAGTACACTTCTAAGATTAACTAAGTGACACGAATGATGGTCACTATAGCCAAAGGTATACAGCAGTCATACACCTAACATACACCAGGTCAGAGAGCAAGAGGAGTTTAGAATGGAGTGATTTATCAAGGAGAAAAATACGGTGTATTTATTTTAAGTTGCTCTTACTGATATATTTAAGTTGCTCTTATTATATTTAAGTTGTATTGCAGGCGATGAGTCACAATAACGTGGCTAAAGTAAGTTGACCAGATCACACACTAGAAGGTGAAGGGACGACGACATTTCGGTCCGTCCTGGACCATTCTCAAGTCGATTGTCCCTTCGATTCGACTTTAGAATGGTCCAGGACGAATCGAAACGTCATCGTCCCTTCACCTTCTAGTGTGTGGCCTGGTCAACAAAGTTGCGTTTATTGTTATATTTAAGTTATATGTAGTAGTGGAAGAAGCTCACACATTCTACTGTTTTATCTCTGAGCTTATGTGGAGCAATAGGGGGTGAAGAGGGGAGGTGGGGATGCGGGGTAAGGTTGGTATAAGAGGGGATGAGGGTTAGGGGCGAGTAAGAGGGACGGAGAGTTGATTATAAGAATGACTGAGAGGAGCATCAAGAGGACCCGAGAGAGGGTGGGTGGGTTGCAGGGGTTCAGAGTGAGGAGCCTCGTTGGTGAAAGGTAAGGGGAGTAGGTGTAATAGAAGGGGGCAGGCGACCAGTGGCGTGGAAGGGGGCAGGCGACCAGTGGCGTGGAAGGGGGCAGGCGACCAGTGGCGTGGAAGGGGGCAGGCGACCAGTGGCGTGGAAGGGGGCAGGCGACCAGTGGCGTGGAAGGGGGCAGGCTACCAGTGGCGTGGAAGGGGGCAGGCGACCAGTGGCGTGGAAGGGGGCGAGCGACCAATGGCGTGGAAGGGGGCGAGCGACCAGTGGCGTGGAAGGGGGCGGGCGACCAGTGGCGTGGAAGGGGGCAGGCGACCAGTGGCGTGGAAGGGGGCAGGCGACCAGTGGCGTGGAAGGGGGCAGGCGACCAGTGGCGTGGAAGGGGGCAGGCGACCAGTGGCGTGGAAGGGGGCAGGCGACCAGTGGCGTGGAAGGGGGCAGGCGACCAGTGGCGTGGAAGGGGGCAGGCGACCAGTGGCGTGGAAGGGGGCAGGCGACCAGTGGCGTGGAAGGGGGCGGGCGACCAGTGGCGTGGAAGGGGGCGGGCGACCAGTGGCATGGAAGGGGGCGGGCGACCAGTGGCGTGGAAGGGGGCGGGCGACCAGTGGCGTGGAAGGGGGCGGGCGACCAGTGGCGTGGAAGGGGGCGGGCGACCAGTGGCGTGGAAGGGGGCGGGCGACCAGTGGCGTGGAAGGGGGCGGGCGACCAGTGGCGTGGAAGGGGGCGGGCGACCAGTGGCGTGGAAGGGGGCGGGCGACCAGTGGCGTGGAGGGGGGCGGGCGACCAGGGGCGTGGAAGGGGGCGGGCGACCAGTGGCGTGGAAGGGGGCGGGCGACCTATAAAGTAAATTTTATTTATTTTGATCACATTATTGCAGAAGGCCTATTGGCCCATACGAGGCAGCTCCCGTTATATATATATATATATATATATATATATATATATATATATATATATATATATATATATATATATATATATATGAATATATATGAATGACACTACTTATTTCTATACTTATTTGTCTGTTTTTATTTAATAAAATAACCAATCTTACAAGAGTTGAATAAAATTTAATTAGAGTTGAACAGTGTTTTTGTGTAGATGGTTGTGTAGGGAGGGGGGAGGGCCCCCAGCACACGGGGGGAGGGGGGAGGGCCCCCAGCACACGGGGGAGGGGGGAGGGCCCCCAGCACACGGGGGAGGGGGGAGGGCCCCCAGCACACGGGGGGAGGGGGGAGGGCCCCCAGCACACGGGGGAGGGGGGAGGGCCCCCAGCACACGGGGGAGGGGGGAGGGCCCCAGCACACGGGGGAGGGGGAGGGCCCCCAGCACACGGGGGAGGGGGGAGGGCCCCCAGCACACGGGGGAGGGGGGAGGGCCCCCAGCACACGGGGGAGGGGGGAGGGCCCCCAGCACACGGGGGGAGGGGGGAGGGCCCCCAGCACACGGGGGAGGGGGGAGGGCTCCCAGCACACGGGGGAGGGGGGAGGGCCCCAGCACACGGGGGGAGGGGGAGGGCCCCCAGCACACGGGGGAGGGCCCCCAGCACACGGGGGAGGGGGGAGGGCCCCCAGCACACGGGGGAGGGGGGGAGGGCCCCCAGCACACGGGGGAGGGGGGAGGGCCCCCAGCACACGGGGGAGGGGGGAGGGCCCCCAGCACACGGGGGAGGGGGGAGGGCCCCCAGCACACGGGGGAGGGGGGAGGGCCCCCAGCACACGGGGGAGGGGGGAGGGCCCCAGCACACGGGGGAGGGGGGAGGGCCCCCAGCACACGGGGGAGGGGGGAGGGCCCATCACACGGGGGAGGGGGGCCCCCAGCACACGGGGGAGGGCGGCCCCCCAGCACACGGGGGGAGGGGCCCCCCCAGCACACGGGGGGAGAGGGCCCCCCAGCACACGGGGGAGGGGTCCCCCCTGCACACGGGGGAGGGGGCCCCCAGCACACGGGGGAGGGGGTCCCCCCAGCACACGGGGGAGGGGTCCCCCCAGCACACGGGGGAGGGGTCCCCCCTGCACACGGGGGAGGGGGGCCCCCCAGCACACGGGGGAGGGGTCCCCCAGCACACGGGGGAGGGGTCCCCCCAGCACACGGGGGAGGGGTCCCCCCAGCACACGGGGGAGGGGGCCCCGGTGTATGAACGTAACAATGTATGAGGGAAGGTGTTATAGAGCTTGGAATAGGCGTAATATAAAGAATGAGGGCGTGAACGAGTTGGGGATGCGGGTTGCTCAGGCGAGGGACATTGATGAGGGTAGGGAAGTGAGGGACATTGATGAGGGTAGGGAAGTGAGGGACATTGATGAGGGTAGGAGAATAAAGTATATTGATGAGGACAGACGATGGGCGCGGGTGGGGTGGGGGCAGGAGGGGGGATAGGATAACGGGTGATTGTATGGTCGCGATGGGGGGGGGGGGGTTTGGTAGAAATTTACATGTCTGACATGTCCCTCTTTAATTCTGTGCGTTTAGCCTAATGAGAGCAGGTTAGGCCGCATCGAGGCCATTCACTGTGTGCCACCTCATTATTTACTCGCGGGGTAATGTGATCGCGCCTCAGGAAGTAATCGTTTTTGCTCTTGGTGATATATGTTGTCATTGCCCTTTAAACTCCTAATGGCCTTTTTAAGGGGTTAATGTGACCATTCCTATTCACTGTCAGAGGAAAAGTATAGGAAAAGCATGCAAATTACCCCCCATTCGTTCCCATCCCCCGAACTCCCTCCTCATATAAAACACTTGGGCCGTCCCCTCTACTGTGGGGAGTCATAATCCCGGCGCGTGCGGTGATGTCCACCCCCCCCCCCCTCCCATTACATCCCTCTCCCCCCCCCTCTCTCATTCCCTTACCTGTTCCACCAACTACGTCACCCTCCTTCCTCTCACCACCTCTCTCCTGTCATTATCCTTCTTCTTTGGTACCTTTATTTTTAGTATTGTTATTAACATGATCATTTATGCAACTACCCTAGGGAGTATGAAGGGTTATATAGTAATTACTCTCACACTGATGGACGTTTTTCTGCTCATATATATATATATATATACATATATATATATATATATATATATATATATATATATATATATATATATATATATATATATATATATATATAGGTGCATCAGGGTGAAAGAAACTGCCCATTTGTTTCCGCCTCCACCGGGGATCGAACCCGGAACCTCAGACTACGAATCCGAAGCACTGTCCACTCAGCTGTCAGGCCCTTTCCCAGGTGTGCTGCGAACCCATCTGTGTTGCCGGCAATGCTTACCTGCCCGCCGCACTCTAGCTAATCATAACATTAACTCGAATGTTTTCGTGTTTATCTCACATATCTGCATATAAACACATGTCCAACTTGGAACAGCTTAGATAGCAGAAGACGTAAGGACTCATTATATGTTTCCTACTTTTACCTTTGAGATAAAACTTTAAATCATGTCGATATTTTTCCGAGAGCGTGACCTCTAGAAAGTTTTATAAGAGTTTGGTTCTGTTTGGTCGTGTTATGTTAGGGGTGTGCCTACCTACACTCCATTATAAACGAATGGTGCACTTAATTTGAGGGAAACTGCGAGGCGCGGCAGCATCTGGGTCGGTCAAGTGGGATGAGACGTCCAAACCTCACATCAGAAAATGAAGTTGGATAACACCAGCATGTTGAGTGAACGCTGGTTAGGATGCTGATCTTGCTCAGGGTAATGTTGTTCCACACTTGTTTCTCTACGACCATGTCGAGAAACACTAAGATGAGAGCAGACTTTATTTGTAAATGACGTCTTCCCTGTGAAGAATGTATTCTGTATAATAAGAGATATACAGGACCTGTTGTTAGGTTTGGATAAAGCGGGAGGGAGATGAGGTCGTGGAGGAATAAATTAATGTGAAAATTATACATTGTATTACGGGCTCACCATAGCCCGTGCTACATGGACACTTCGTCCTGAGTAGCTAAATCTTTAACAACAACATATACATTGTAACCTGCAACCTCTCACGTCCCTGACCTCACCCCTCCCCCTTCACCCTCCTGGCTCCTACCCCCATTCTCACCTTATTAACCCTAGGCTACCTATTGACCATCTATGTAACTGATAATGCATGTTATCTGGGACAGAAAGCCTGTGTGTGTGTATATACGTTAGGCTTGTATCAAGGTCCCCCTCCCAAGGTAGGACTGCTGACCCTCCCCAGGATTCAACGCCCCAACAGTTGCTTAACTCAAGGGTAATTGTTTACTACTAGGTGAATACATCTATCAGGTGAAAGGAAACGTGCCCAACCATTTGTCACGCCAGGAAATCGAACCCAGGATTCTTAATTGTGAATATTGAACGAAGCCAAGTGTACTACGTGCCCCTTAACAGTTATCTACTCAGCTTTTTTATTTGAGCGGCAAGTGTCTTCGATTATTTTTGTAAATGTTCTAATTTCCTTTCCATCTCTACCTCACTTTCTCTGTTTTCCAACTACTTGAGGCACCCCTCTGTTTTTGCCGTCTTATTTTTTTCCCAACTATTCATACTTTTCCTCTCTGAATTTCCCCTCGCCCTGTTTACCCTCTACTTTGCCCATTTATATTTTTCCTCGCCGCACTTACCCTTCTCCTCATAATAAAGCAAACATTGCAACAACCAGGAAAATAATAGGATGAATAATGAGAGCCTTCAAAACAAGGGATGTCACACCAGTGACCTGACTCTTCACAGCACTGGTGCTATCTTGTGTGGAATATTGTCATGTTTCTCACGGCCTCTTTCAAGACGGGCAAGATTACTGGAATTAAAGAATCAGCCTGGATGTGATAGCTATGTCGACCATCAAGCTACGAACACGCACAGCTTCACAAAGTCAGCAAGGCGGACAGCCCGCCTGCTTTCATAACTCTCACTGTATTTCCCACTTCCAAACTTTCCTTCACCTATGCCTCAACATCCTCTTTACTATAAAAAAAATAGCCAATAACCATGGAAGGCAGCAGTTCACACGGAGTAGAAAAACTCGAAAGTCCTCAACCGGTAATTAATCCTTGTGCGCTCGGCTGCTCCGTCCTGAGCTTAGCTGCTCCGTCCTCCTGTGCTCAGCTGCCCCATCTTGAGCTTAGTTGCACCATCCTCCTGTGCTCAACTGCCCCATCTTGAGCTTAGCTGCTCCGTCCTCCTGTGCTCAACTGCCCTATCTTGAGCTTAGCTGCACCGTCCTCCTGTGCTCAACTGCCCCATCTTGAGCTTAGCTGCTCCGTCCTCCTGTGGTCAACTGCCCCATCGTGAGCTTAGCTGCACCGTCCTCCTGTGCTCAACTGCCCCATCTTGAGCTTAGCTACACCGTCCTCCTGTGCTCAACTGCCCCATCTTGAGCTTAACTGCACCGTCCTCCTGTGCTCAACTGCCCCATCGTGAGCTTAGCTGTACCGTCCTCCTGTGCTCAACTGCCCCATCTTGAGCTTAGCCTCACCGTCCTCATGTACTCAGCTCCTCCGTCCTGGCTGTGGTTTAGGCTTCCCCCATACACTTCACGCATCATTATGTCTCACTACATTGCAACCTTCGCCGCTATTAAGTCGGGTTTAGTATGCAGTAAAACGAGGCCGGCGCTCACCTCTCCTGCAGTGACCTCGTCTATATTTGAATATACTTGATTTTATTTAAGCATTTATCTTGTATAATTCTCATGAATAATTTGACAAACTCATTTTAGAATACATATTTTATACATGAATATGGTAAAGACATTTGATAAATGTAATCACAGAGTGATTGTCTATCAAATCAGGTCCAAAAAAATAAGAGGCAAAGCAGGATGAGCTATTTTAAAAGTTTCTGATAAAATAGTCACAAAAAATTACTGTATAGGCCTACTAAATTAAATCCGAACACAAATTTTCAATACCACAAGGCACGTTCTTCCTCTATTTGTACTTCCCCTCTTAAACATACAATAATACAAATCATAACTTCGTGTCATCTTTTTCGACCGATATTAAATAACAAAAATTGCTTCGGTTCAAGTAATTTTCCAATAATGGAAAGAATTAAGACATACGGGATATAGACCTCATATGGGATACAAACCTCATATGGGATACAAACCTCATATGGGATACAGAATACAAGACGCAATACGATGTTGTCATAGAGCGGGAACAGCTGTAATGTTGCCTCACTACTTAACATTTGGTGAGCGCAACACAGCAAACATAGTGTCAGCCAATGAAGAGTTAGAGTGGATTTAGTGAACCTTCACAACAAGGGATGCCTCTTTACCTGTTGTTCGTTCCGGGGACCAACGTCCCCGTGGCCCGGTCTCTGACCAGGCCTCCTGGTTGATGGTCTGATGAACCAAGCTGTTGGACGCAGCTACTCGCAGCTTGACGTGTGAATCAGAGCCTTATTAATCAGGTATCCGTTAGAGGTGTTTATCAAGTTCTGTCTTGAATACCGTGAGAGATCTACCGGCTATGTCCCATCATCCTTACGGCTACTCTAGGAGTCACTTGTAGTGTCTTTGGACACATTTGCTCTGGAATGTACAAAGATCCTATACTGCACACACTGAAGCATTAACAACTCGGTGACAGTAACTGTCTCAAAAGTTCTCAACATGTACATTTTATAAAGGGAACGAAATAAAAATACGTCATATAATCTATTCAAGGAAGATACTCCAAGGCTAAGTAGGACCATAATGTGCACAATATGATAACTTATTGGACTGAAATTATAGTAAAAAGTTGGTAATAGTCTCAGTGGATAGAAGTGCCCCAAACACAGAAAACATTATGAATATCAGAGGCTCACTAAGTTGTAACCTTTACCAGGAAAGATAAGCAATATTTCTGAAACAAATGTTTTTTATTGCACAGTTTATAACCTTTTAAGGTTATTTGTTAATACAAATGTTGGCGTTAATACTACATTGTTTTATTAATATTTATCACAATTAAAATTGTGATTAATACTAGTAAAAACTTGTTATGTTTAGACATTTAGCGTGATGTGCACCTGTTTATTACAGCCAGAATTGTTACGAACATAGCCTTTGAGTGTGATTAATAGGAATGTAAATTACATAGCACTGCAAAATGTTAATAATTCTCAAGATGTGACAATGTTTCTTCTGTAACTAGTAAGGGACTGACCTTGAAAGGCTGAGGGGAACCCTTACTTACTATACTGAAACAGAGAAGGAACAACGAGACTATAATAACAACCTGTCAATAGTGAAACTAACAAGATAAACAATTAGGTAATTTTCGGTAAGAGGCGAAGGCCCATATCCCATTTAATTTCTTTATTGTGCACCCCACACCCATCCCGTGGGCGGTGGTGGAAAGGGTTACAGAGGCACATTATGGGGTTCAGGAACTGAACCCCATAGTTCGTTTACCTAAGCAAGTGAGTCTCTTGTGAAGCTAGTTACACAATTGTTAATGTTACATACACATGTACATATATATACATCCATGAACACAAATACATATACATATCAATAATCTTTTTATATCACGTGATTCAACAAGAGGCTCACAACAGTCATTATACAAGGCACTTTACATCTATGGTGAGTCACGCAGTTACTAGTCTTATTCCACACCC